TCCTGGAACTAAGACTCCAGGCCTGCAGAGCAGAAGGTTGCAGAGACAGGAAGCAAAACCTTCCTACTGGGTTACTAGGGTGATGGTGAGTGGTAGCATTCCTTCCTCCACCTTGACTCCTGGACCATGAATTCCAGCAATAGGAGGGACAGTGCCCTATAGTGGCTGCTGACTCAGAGAGTACAGACACCTTCTGAAGAACCTTGTCCAGCCCTGCAATGTACTGCCCCTAGCTGGTGCTGCAGCTGCATCTTCAAGAGCTGTTCCATTGTTCCATCAAGCCAGCTGCTTCAGGGTGGTGGGGAACAGGTAGGACCAATGAATCCATGAGCACAAGCCCAGTGCCTCACTTCTTTGGCCATGAAGTGAGTATTGTGGTCTGAAGCAATGCAGTGTGGAATACCATGATGATGGAAACGGCATTCTCTAAGTCCACAGATGGTGGTTTTCGCTGAAGCACTACAGACAGGGAAGGCAAATCCATACCCAGAATAAGTGTCTATTCCACTAGGGACAAACTGCTGCCCCTTCCATGATGGAAGAGGTCCAAGGTAATCAACCTCCACCAGGCTGTGCCTGATCTCCTTGGGAATGATGCCATAAGGGGCTTAGTGTTGGTCACTGCTGTGGGCAAACTGGACACTCAGCAGTGGCTGTAGCTAAACCAGCCTTGGTGAGTGGATGTCCATGCTGCTGAGTCCATGCATAAACACCATCTCTGCCACCATGACCACTCTGTCCATGAGCCCATTGGGCAGTGACAGGCTTGGCAGGGGAAAGAGGTTAACTGCTATCCATAGATTGGGTCATCCTATCCATATGATTATTAAATCCTCTCCTGCTGAGGTCACCTTTTGGTGGGCATTTACATGAGACAGAAATATCTTCATATTCTTTGCCCATTAAGAGAGATTTTTTTATACAACTTTTTCCCAAATGTCCTTGTTGCCAATTCTCCAATTATGTTCTTTCAAGTTCCCTCACCAGCCAGCCAACCCATTAGCTGTGGTGCATGGATTGAATAGTCACACATCTGCCAATTTCCTTCCAGGCAAAATGCACAATCAGATGCACTGCCCAGAGTTCTGTCCATTGTGAAGATTGCCCTTCACCACTGACCTTCAGGTGTGTTCCAGAAAGGGGGAACAGGTCCACAGCTGTCCATTTCTGGGTGGTACCATGGTGCAGAGCCATCCTTGAACCAGCATCAGTCTTCTCTTCCTCTGTCAATTGATCATAAGGTCCACCCCATGAAGTCATAGGTTCATACTGAGGGACAGAAGGTACTGCAGCAGGACCAGGAGTGATGGGCAATATGGCCACTTCTTCATGCAGCCAACTTGTGCCTTTGTGTCCCTCACATGCCCGATCATGTTACCACCACTTCCACTTAATGACACAGTGCTAATGCACATATCCAAACTTATGGCATGGGGGGGGTCTTATAATGCCCAATTCATGATGGGCAGCTCAGGTCATATAGGAACCTGGTGGCCCATGGTCAAGCATTCAGTTCCCACTAAGGCCCAGTAGCAGGCAAGAGCTACTTCTCAAAGAAACAGTAGTTGTGTGCAGATGATGGCAGGGCCTTGCTCCAAAATCCCAATGCCCTCCACTGTGATTTACCTATGGGGCCTGCCCATGACTCTGGACAGTGTCCCCATCTACACTAACACTTCAAAGACCATGGGTCTGCCAGGTCATATGGCCCGAATGACAGAGCTACCTGCCCAGCAGCCTGGACCTGCTGCATTGCCTTCTTCTGTTCTGGAAACCACTAAAACAGGAAGCTTTTCTAGTCATTAGGTCGGTGGGCTGGAGGAACACACCCACGTGAGAAATGTGCTCTCTCCAAATCCACATAGGCCCACAGTGTTGTGCTTCTTTCCTACCTGTAGGAGGGGCCATATGAAACAACTTATCCTTCAGGTTACAAGGAATGGCTATCTCACAGCCCCTCACCACTGGACTCCCAGAAACTTTACTGAAGTTGAAGGCCCTTGAGTTTTAGTGGGATATATTTCCCACCCTATAATACACAAATGCTCCACCAGCAAGTTCAAAGTGGTTGCTATTCCTGCTCAGCTGGCCCAATCCACATAATGTCATTGATATAAAGGGCCAGTGTGACATCATGTGGGAGAGAAAGTTGATCAAGGTCCCTGTGAACTAAGCTGTGTCACAGTGCTGGAGAGTTGACATTCCCTGAGGAGGACACTGAAGGTACATTTCTGGCTTTGCCAGCTGAAGACAAATTGTTTCTGGTGGTTCTTTTGCACTGGGATGGAAACAGAAGCATTTTCCCAATCAATAGCCACATACCAGGTACCAGGAGATGTATTGATCTGCTCAAGCAAAGAAACCACATCTGGTCCAGCAGGTGCAATTGGAGTCACCACCTGATTAAGCTTACGATAATCAACTGTCATTCTCCAGCTGTCTTCAGCACAGGCCAAATAGGAGATCCAGGTGTGATGCTGTGGGATTCACCCTCCCTGCACCCTTCGTGTTCTTGATGGTGGCATTAATCACTGCAATCTCTCCAGGGATGTGGAATTGCCTTTGATTCACTATTTTCCCAGGTCCAGGCAATGCCAGAGGCTTTCATGTACACTTCCCACCCATAACAGCCCTTGTTCCACAGGTTAGAGAACCAATGTGGGAGTTTTGCCAAGTGCTAAGTATGTCTATCCCAGTTACACATTCCAGGCTGGGGAAACAACCACAGGATGAGTTTGGGGACCCACTGGACGCACTGAGTTTGACTTTAGTCCAAGCTCCATTGATTACCTGATTCCATAAGCTCCCACTTTTACTGGAGGGCCACAATGACATTTGGGGTCTCCAGAATCAATGTCAATTCAGAGTCTGTGTCTAGCAGTCCCCCAAAGATTGATTATTGCCTTTTCCCCAATGCACAGTTATCTTGTAAAAAGGCCTTAGGTCCCTTTGGAGGAGGATGGGAGAAAGATTAACAGTAAAGATATTGGTGCTGTACCAGGGTCCTTCCTCAAGGAGACCTGGCCTCCCCTTGATTCAGGGACTCTGGATCTGTAAATTGACTCAAATCCAGGAAGTGGCTGAGGGGCTGTGATTCTCTGCTGTTATGATCTGAGACAGACTTTTGTGCATTTGCCCTGAGATTTTTGTACTTTGTATAAGTCAGGTAAGAGTTTTGTGGGTTTCCCATCTATTTGGCTTCTAGAAACACCATGATTAATTAGCCAATGCCAGAGATCGACACGAGTCAGAACACTGTGTCCACTTCCTCCCCTTTGCTGTCCATTACTGTAACTATGACCTCCCTGTCTATGGTGATTGAGGGCTGCCACATGACCTCTTCCTCCCTGAGATCCAATCATGCCCATTGCAGTGAAGTCTTCCAGTTGATTGATGGCAGCTCCCACAGTAAGGTCTGGCATGCAGAGAGAGCAACCACAGAGCTCTTCAAGGATGCTGGTGCTCCTCTCACACATTTGTTTCCTCTAGTTCTGGTGAAGTGCACATCTTCTGGACCCCCACAGTATGGAGGAGAAGGTCACACCTGACAGATCCACTCCTGCATTCCAATTTTCCTGAGCCTCTGAATTGCCTCATCAACAATAAATCAAGGGTTGTCCAGCATTTCAGCTCATTTATAGTGGGCCATCTTTGGGCTCATACTTCAGCTAAAACTTTTTAAACACTGTGAGCTATTACATTAAATCTAGTATCTCTTCTTATGGGCCAGTATCAATAAATCCTGCATGATATAAGTTTATGTTCCTTCCACTCTTATCCCACACCCTTAAAATCCATTCCCACCTGTTTCCCAGGCTTCTGCTTGTATAAATGAGAAAACTCAAGAACTTCCTTCTAAATGTAGAGTACCTCCTTGTGGGTCACACTCAGTACCTCACCTCTAGGGACTGCTTAGATTTGCATCTAGTTATAGTTCTGGAGGCAAAGGTAGGTGGTGAGGGTGGGGTCTCAGGAGTAACAACACCTTCATGCTGAGACCTGAATCATGGAAGAGTTTTACTGTGTCCACATAGAGTAGAGGGTAGTGATGCTCTTGGATGTTCTGTTCAGGGTTTCTGACTTTCTTCACTGTGTGATCAACTTTATTTTCCAGGTTGTACTTTGTCTTCAGTGTCTGACGTTCTTTCTTCCAAGTGATCTACTCTGTTGGTTGTTCTTTTTATTTAGTTTTTTATTTTATTTATTGTATCCTTTGTTTCAAGGATTTCTGACTTGTTTTATTTCAGGGTCTCTGTCTCTTGAAGTAATCTTTTGCTACCTGGGTTTACTCTCTTATCTCATTGTTGGAGTGATCAATTTTTGCCTGTATTTGCTCATTTAGGTCTTTCTTTAATTCACAGATCACTTAATTATGAACCTTCTGACCTCCTCCTCTGACATTTCATCAACTGCACTGTCCAGGGTTCTGTTATATAGGTTCCTGGTGTGTTTGGGGCACACTCCTCCCTTGTATTTTCATGTTGTCTCTGTGTCTTCCTTCCTTGCAGTGTGGATCTGGGATAGTACAGCTTCCTCCCTCTATTCTTGTAGTACCTGTGCAGATTGTCTGTACCTCACCTTGATGTTGGGCCTCCAGACCCTGCTGGTGTCCCTCAGTGGATTCTACTGCATCCTGGGTCTCTGTTCTGCATAAGTTGGGGTGGGTGGATCAGGGCCACTGGTCTTGACCTCCCACAGTAGTCTGCTGGTAGGAAGGGGAGGTCCTGCACCAGAGGCTAGGCTCTGGCCTGTCACAACACTTTTTCTTAATCCATTCATCTGTTGGTGATCACCGGGGCTGGTTTCCTAACTTGGAAGTTGCGAATTGTGCTGCTATAGATATTGATGCAGTTGGGTCACTATACTATGCTAGTTATAGGGGTAGTTTTTGGAAAAAAAATCACAGAGTGTTATAGCTGTATCATATGATAGTTCATTTGTAGATTTTTAAGGAATGTCTGTATCGATTACCAACATGGTTGTACTAATTTCTAGTCTACAAAAATGCATGAATTTACCTGTTTTTGTCAGAGTTTTGAGAGAATCTACTCCTATTTTTATTCTTGATGAATGCCATTCTAACTGAGGTGCCATCTCACTGTAATTTTGATTTGCATTTTCTTGATCGCAGGTTTGGGATTTGAGAGGAGAATGTGGGTGCATCTAGCCATGGGGTTCTAGAAACACCATGTTTTTGTTGCTATGACCTTGAACTGCCCAAGTGCACAGGTGGAGAAAGGTGACTCCTGTCCTTCCCAGGAGCCTGGCTGGGGCCTGCTCTGAAAGCAGAGTCCCCAGTGCTGGTCCTCAGGTGCCACATCCCTGTGCATGGGTAAGGCCTTGAACATGAGGGGAAGTGGCCCTCTGTGTGACACAACGTGGCCCCATTATGATTCAGCTGTGGAACTTTGTGAGGTTGAAGGGAAGCCAATAAATGGGAAACAGTCACATGAATGTGGCTGGTTGATCACTTGCTCATCTCCAAACTTCTTTTCAAACAATTAGGCCCAATTAAGACTGAGCTAAGGTCTGATGGAAACAAATGCAGTAAATTGTAGAGGGAAGGGAGAGGCACACCTCAGGGACTGAGCTCCTGCAGAGGGCGCTTCTCTTTGACAGGTGACAACACTGACATGGAGCCCAGTGGTAGTTAATGACAAGAGACCCACAAACCCAGAAGGTACAAATACAACCTGGAGAGCTGCGTCTTGTTCAAAGGGCCAACACCGAGGTTGACTGCAGTCTGCACCAAGGTGAGTGGGCCCTAGGATCAGATTTGCTCACGGGCTCAGGGGACATCCCTCAGCGGTCACGGTCTTACTGTCTGTGACTGAGCAAGGGGGCTGCTGAGTGTGTCTCAGCCTCAGGACCTTCACCCTTCTGCTGGGAGCTGCAGGTGTGCACCTGGGCCAGGAAGATGAGGGGCCTTTACAGCAGGTGTCCCTCAGCTACGGCAGAGCCACCTTGACCTGTGTTCAGGATCAGGAGTCATCCAAGAGCTCTGTGGAGGGTCCTGGGAGAGAAGGCTAGAAGCTTTGTCTGCCTTTAGAAAAGCTCAGTTTCTTCAGCCTCCACATTGTCCTGCAGTGGTTCTGTCAGCATCGTAGCTTACACTAGGTTTTTGAACCTAGAGTTTTTTGTATTACTTGGTTTCTAAGATACAATTTCCCCCCTGCATTATGTTTCTATGTCCCTAAGTGCACTGTGTTTAATGTGAAGGCATTCATTCTGCATCCACCCTGAAGTTGCTTGTCCTGACACATAGCATTAGACCCCACATGTGAGTCAAATTCGTTTTTATATGTCTGTCAGAGTGCCTACTGAAACAATGACCGTTTAAAATCCTAGTGTCTCTTGTTGAATTCCAGTATGTTTTCAATTGTTTACTTGATATTAAAATTTCAAAAAATATCTTTGCCTTTAGTTCAGTTCCATGAAGCAAGGAGCATGCTCTCATATTTATCTTGGAATGTTTTCCCCAGGAGGGATGCGTGTTCTGCCCAGCTGTTGGGGTTAATTCCAGGTGGGGGTGATATCTTTCTGTGAATGCAGGGCCTTCAGAACTGTTTAGACTGTAGTTGTAAAATCAACCTGTGATGATGTCTGCACTCTATTCTGTCAGAGCGAAGGGGAAGTGAATTATGTGTCTCAGAAGTGCCTCCCAAATTTGATTCAGAGCTGTGTCATTTGGGAAGATGGGAGTGGGCTGAAAATAAGAGAAAAACTAGAAAATGAAGAAGAAATGAACAAACATTTGATAAGTCCCCTGGGCCATGATGTCCATTGAGTGTGCTCCTTCTCACCCGTGACTTACTAGTGGAAACTGCTGTGCTGGGTCATTAGAGCTTGTATCTTAGGCATTTCACAGTAGATATGTAGGGTTTTGTGCTGTTTAAGGCTTTGATGCATTTATTATTCTCCCCATTTGTTAGTGGAAGAAACAGCATTGAAATATAAATCTTCCTGTTTTCAAGGGTTACATGGTGCCAAAGATGGGTACAAACTGTTTTTCTGTATTTTATTATGCCGGGGACGTTTAGCAGAGGAATCTCAAGCAATTTTTAATGAATAGCAGGAGCTGAGGGGAAGAATTGCAAAATTGTATTCTATGTATATAGGATTCACTCAAATTATAAGTATTTTTTTAACAATCTGGTTTATTTTTTCTGGAGAAATTGACCATATTTTACATAAGTTCTCAGGTGAGACATGAAATTGGAATTCTAGCAGGAAAATGTAAAGTCATGTTCAAGCCTGCGTGGAAGTGAGCCATGCAGTTTAAACCTCATAGCAGCCCAATTGCTGACTAGGTGGGGAAAAGACAAGGCAGGCTGCAGAGCTGACTAGGCGACTGTTCCCACCAGGGCAGTGTAAGGTGTAAAATGCCTGCGTGGCCCCACTCAAGTGAATTGGTTCATGCCAAATGTCTCCCAGCCTACTCTTCTACAAGGAGGTTTTCTTGGGGATTCCTGGTTCATACACTGCCTTCGTCTCCTGACAGCTCATAGCAGGGGTCTTTCCTCTCACCCTAACACTCTGACAAACACCACCACTTGCAGAACTGGCCCAGGCCTCCCTTAGAGCCCCCGAGGGCATCAGTGGGAACTCAGCCCTCTGCTGATGACCCTGGCAGCAGCATTTCGTGGCTCTTCTAGGGCAGCCTCGCTGGCTCCACGCTGTCTTTAACCCCATTCTCTCAGGCTAGAAACTCATTCCTGCATACCTCTGACTGAGTTGTTGGATCCCCTCTGTGCAGGTTGGAGCTGGATGTCACTCTGAGCACTACAGAGACTCTGGTGTTAGTAAGCCGTGAAACCACCGAGTCCTACTGGTGTGCAGAGAACACAAAAGGGAAGCTGTTGTCGTCACAGAAGGAAAACTCTAAAGCAAAATCCAGCCTCAAACGTGGTGCAGCAAAAGATGTTGAGAAACTGAACTATGGCTGAATTTATATTTGTTAAAGACATTCAGGGAACTGGATTTTATAGATGCTTGTGCATGGGGTATTGGAAAGAAGAAAGGCCAAGTGTGATCCTCGACTTTTACATCCCAATGATAAAAACATAGAGAATGAAACCAAAAAGACAGGGAAGAGTCTGACTGGGGGAGTGTAGCTTTAATGTATCCAAGGTGAGGTTGAATATAGGTGGGATATCAGGGATTTGATCAAGAAACTTGGTATTGATTGCATAGAGCTTAGAAAAAAATCAGGGTTAAAAACTTAGATTTTTGAATAATGGCATCAGGATGACTTTTAAAAGCATGTAGAATGATCCTTAACCCCCTAAGAAAAATAGTCCTTTGGACAAAATCTGCATCGTTACATGTATCCTGATTGTTCCTACACCCCAGGAAAGGCTGTTGTGAAATACTTCTTTGCAGATTCATATCATCATACAATTGCCTTCTTCAAAAAGTGTCTGCTATATCTGAGATTTTCTGCCTATGAAGTAAGAAATGGTTTTGCCTCTTGTCAAGGGAATAACGTTCATGTTTCTAATAGGACTTGGGATTATGGGGAATATCTATGTGTTTGTGAACTATATGTGCTTGTTTAGAGGAGTCAAGAGGAAATCTAGTCACCTCCTTCTCATCCATTTGGCTTTTACAAATAGCATAACACTTATTACAGGAGGAATGCCAAGAACAATATCCAGTTTGGGGTTCAGAGACCTCCTAGGTGATATAGGCTGTAAGACTGCGATTTATCTGGAGAGGGTGGCCCGGGGCCTGTCCATCTGCACAACAAGTCTCCTCACAGTGGTCCAGGCCATCACCATCAGTCCCAGAGCCTCCAGGTGGGGGAGGCTGCAGCCCAGGTCTGCATGGCACCTGCTTCCCTTGTTAGTCTTCCTGTGGATACTCAATTCCTTGATAAGCATGAACTTACCACTTTACATTTAAAAAGCCAGCAGCATGAACAGTTCAGAAATTAGAATAAATGAGAACTACTGTTATTTTCTACAGCAAAACTCAACAATCAGATGGATTTTTATTGTTCTCATGGTCCTTCGAGATGCTGTGTTCCAGGGTGTCATGGGCGGGGCCAGTGGCTACATGGTCTTCCTCCTCCACAAGCACCACCAGCACGTGCTCCACCTTCAGACCTCCAAGGTCCTCCACAGAACCCCCCCTGAAGTGAAGGCTGCAAAGAGTGTCCTCGTTCTGATGCTCTGCTTTCTCTTCTTCTATTGGGCAGATTGTTTCATGGCTTTATATGTAACTTTCTCCTTAGAGAAGCGTTTCATAGAAGTAAGTGTTCTACAACTTGTGAACCTTGGCTATGCAATCCTCAGCCCATTTGTGCTGATGCACAGGGATGGACACCTGGCTGAGTGTTGGCCTGGTCACTAGAGAGACAAACATTGAGACCATGTGTGTAACATTTATCTTCTAGTAAGTAAGTTTAAAACTCTCCTTAGTCTTGTGTTTCTGTATGAGTCATGAAAGTCACGTAAGTGTAGCTGAGTCATATAGAGGGACATTTCTATACCACAAAGCTGGAGACAATGCTATGACCAACTTCATAGGAATGTGGCTAAGGGTGCTCCTTCTGTCTCTCTCTATGGCCCTGTATATATTTGATGTTTTTTTTCCTTGTGAACCTCAAAAATTTTATTGATATCTAAGGTATATTTATTTACAATTAATATAAAATATTTCCAGAGTAGTAGCATTTAAACATAGAATGTAATAATACACTTTATTAGATGTCATCTGCATTAATAAATCTGCAAGAATAAAGAGACTTAAAGTGTAGTTGTGTCATTTGTTATGAAGAAAATTGGAGGCATAATAAAAATAACTTACTTTTTTCCTTTCATGTTTTCTGATTTGCAAACTTACAATTTGAATGTATTTTTCTCCAATAAATGAGAAGTTGTGTGGGTGACAATCATGGCTTGTTTCAAGAGCGTACTAGTTAGAGCCTGTATACTGCTTGATATTGTCCCTGTCTTCAGAAATACACATCATATTCTGAATTTGTAGTGAAATGAACTTAATTTCCTTGTTTGTAAACTGGAAACAAAACATATATTCATATAGAATGCACAGATCTTGCCATAGATATTTTATAAAACCACTTTGAAATATTAATGATGCTATTGATGTATTGATCATATTCCCTCCAAGACATCAGTGTTGAGTTAGAGGCCCTTCCTACACAGCCAAGTTGTCCTCTGTATCTTCCTTATGACCCTGTTTGTGGTTTGTTCATACCATATTAACATAGATGTAAAGTAATTTATTAATGTTATTATGTCATACTCCAAAATTAGGTGTTTATGTGCTTGACATAATGAAGGTGTCCCTGAAGTCATAACATGTACTAAGTGTCTTAGTGCCTCAGTTCTCCTGTGACAGCTGTTTTCTAAAACCTTGAATAGAGAAATAAGACAGAGTGAGTCATCCCTGAGCACGTCCTTGCCCTAGGACTAAAGGGCAGGAGTTCAGATCCCGGAAGTGCAGTCAGGAATGAGTGACATGTCAAAGTGGGACCATGAGGAAGAGACGACTGACACTAACAACATCCAAATATCTAGATGAACAAGGAGATGGCTCATGACTGTCGGGAACAATCTGTCAAGGTTTGCCTGGATTTTATTTTACCTAATTAAGTGTGATTCTGTTTCACTCTAGAATGTGAAAATTGAGTTGAGAAAGCAAAAGCAATCAGAAATCATAATTAGAAAAAAAAACTGAAAAGAATGAAGCCCATGACTGACATTGTCTCAAACATGTGGAGTGGGAGGGAGGAGAGAGAAATGGGAAACACTAGCCCGGAAACACTCTGACATGACTGGTAGCACATCGAGTTTCTTTTATTTCTAAATATCTGTGGTTGTGTTAAAGCAGTAAAATATAAATAGTGATATGAACCCCTCAACAGTTTTGCCTTACAAAGTTTACATAATAGAGATGACTAAATATACCCCTGAATTTTGTGAACAAATCTCCATTTTCAGAAACTCAGAAGAGCATGGTATCTGGAATTTACACAGCAATGTTTACATGCAGACCTGCAGTTGGTAAACTAAAGCAAAAAAATTGTTGAAAGCAACCATAAGAATATCTCAAGTAAGAGTCATTATCGATTCCTAATCAATAGTGGATTTCACACAAGGGAGTTTGGTCCCCTAGAAAACTATATTGATCAGAAACCACGTAAATTCCTTCTAATATTGGTGGATAGTCAAAAACGCAAGACTAGGCATGTTATCATTGGCAAGGGACTTGAAAAATACGTTTGCAAAGAAGATACACAAATGTCCACAAAGTATATGAGCAGGTGCTCAACATTACTAACCATCAGGAAACGGTGAATCAAATTCAGAAGACACAACTTTACATCCATTAAGATTGGGTCCTAGCTAGGTGAGAAGACATAACAAGTGTTAGCAAGGACCTGGCTAAAAACAATTTTGCTTATAATAAAGTGACCTGGAGACCAGTGTGTACTATGGTTGAGATCATTGTTCCTTTTAAATTGTGGGAAGTATATGGATATTGCTCAGAGAATTAAAAGCCCTCCCCAATCAATCTTAAGCAAAAAGAATGAAATCGCAGGCATTACACTACTTCAAAACGCAAAATGTACTACAAGGCTGCAGGAATAAAGAAGCCTGGTGTTGGGACCCGCAGAGCCATTATTTAAGGTAACTGCACCTGGTGAGGAGGGTATGGAGAAAAGACAAACCCACAAATAGAGAGAAAGCTGGTGTTCATGGTTCACTGAAGTCCCTGGTAGGCAGATAGCGACACAGAACAAATTCAGCATTTGTATATTATAAGGATAATCATCAAAAGGGTTATTGTGAGAAAATTCTTCAAAACAAGCAGAACCAAGGCCATAGGTATGAGCAGTCCAAGTGTGATTTTCACCGTGCACCGATAACTTTCTACCCCTGGGCAGCTGGTGTCTAAACCTCAAAGTCAAGAACTAAATAGCTCTGAGGCTGCCACAGAACCTCCTATTGAACAGGGTGACATCATAGCCATGGGCATCTGTAATCCTCACCTTCACAGTGAAAGTCCCCAGTAAAGGTATTGCCTCTGTTGAAGGACAGCTCAAGGGCCCTAATTAAATTACTGCTCCCAACAGAATGGTATTGGCATAAAAACATACATTTGCACCAATGGTAAAGACTCAAGAGCATAGAAGTAGCTCATGCATCTACAGCAAATTGATTTTCAACAAAGGTGCTCTGAAGGTGCATTAGTGTTCTCTAACTGTTTGTTCTAACAGTCTTCTCAATGAAGTGGTCTTGGAAAAACTGCATATCCATGTGAAGAAGGATGTCCAAGCTACAGAATACATTAAAATGGATTAAAGACTTAAATGTAAGACCTGAATCAACAAAAAAGTAGAAGAAAATAAGAGGAAAACCTTAGGGTGTTATAATAAAAAAGAATTTTGGGACAAGTCACCAAAAGGACAGGAAACACAAGAAAAAGCATCAAATGAGATTCTGTTGAACTAAAAATAGTTCTGCACCAAAAAAGAAAAGAATAAACCAGAGGGAAGAGACTAACTACCTGGTAGTTGATGCATTTGGAAAGTCTATGTCTCACAGGGAGTTTATATTCAGAATATATCAAAGAAACTTAAACACGCAATAGCAAGATCTGTTGGTGTAGCTTAGTGATAGACCTTTGTCAGTACAGACAATGCCTTGGGTTGCATACCACAAAATGCAGTCAACATGCAAAAGAAAAATCAATAACAAAGCACACAAACAAAGTCAACAACAACAACAAGACACCCTGATTATATAGGGGAAATCAGCCTATGGACACGTTTCCCAGAGGACAAATTACAAATGTTCAACCTCAGTAAATATAAAGGTAATGCAAACCCAAGCATCAATGCCACTAGAATAGCCACTGTTGAAAAGTCAAAAGTGAAAGGTTAGTGTAGGGATGTGGGGAGAAAGAAACCCTCACACACTGTAGTGGGGAAGGTAAATAAATACAGACATTGTGAAAACTGTGGGGGATTTTAAAATATTAACAATAAAACTACCACATGATCTCATAATCCCACCTTGGGTTTAAATCTAAAGGACATTAAATCAGCATGTCCAAGAGACACCCACAATCCTTTGCACATTGCAACAAAAATAGCCAAAGCTACAGCCAATTTTAGTTACTACCAAATGAAGTATGGATAAAAACACATGGTAACACATACATGATGGAAAAGCACCATCCATAGAGTAAGATGAAATCCTGACACTGGGGGACCATGGATTGAGCTGGAGGTATCACATTAAGTGAAGTAATTCAGGCACAGAGACAAGTACCACAAGATCTCACTCATAGGTGGACGAGAAAACTGTGCATCTCATAGAATTTGAGAGTAGAGTGGAGACTAGAAACTGTGGATCTCATAGAATTTGAGAGTAGAGTGGAGA